CTTTGAGGCAACTTTCCGTTTGCCTCGATTACATAAGCGCATAAAGTGCTATGGTCTTAAGCTGGAGCGACTATGAAAGTAGCGAAAAGTGAAATTTCTACACCTTATCACAACTCAATTCTGTCAAATTGACACACACACACACACACTCTCTCTCTCTCTCTATATATATATATCTATATATATGATTATATATATTTATATATTTATATATAAATATATGGTGTGTATGTGTGTGTGTATAGATGCGGCGAGGCGACATGTGAACTGGCTAGGCAGTAAAACTAGGCTGGTTGGTGTTCACGTCTGTTTGGCGCGCTAGACACGGTATCGGAGTTGAGGGTTGGCTGCAGATCCCTTTTGGCCTGGCTTGTGATGTCGACATGTGGTCATGCGAGACGGTGCAGAACGGAAGACGACACTGCTTTGGCCTCTTTTGGCCTGCCGCCCAGTCTCGAAGTGGCGGGAGATTTCGACCAGAGTCCGCATACTTTTGCTGCTGTTGTTGCTGTTGCTGTTGCTATTGCTGTTGCCATGACGCCAAGTCAGGTAGGCAGATAGACAGAGGGACAGAGGGACAAGAGACGAGAAAGAGAGAGAGAGCAATCGCGATGCGAACGAGGCTGCCTCAGACGTGGGCTCGGTTGCTGACGCGACTTGTGCTGTCAGCAGAACCGAATAGCGTCGGCCTCCTCCGGAGGAAGACGCCTCGGCACCCGTCGGTCTGCCGGTTTGTCGACATGTGCACACCCGCACAACCGTCTGCCAAGTTTGCGTGTCACTTGGGTCTGGCAAAAGATCGCTTGACCCGCCTGAGCCAGTCTGGAGCACGCGGTTCCGGAGTCTGCAAGGCATCAGACACGACTTGACGTTGCTAGGGGGCGGGAGGATAACAGGCGTGTGTGTACACATGTGTCTGCCAGGCCGACCACTTAGCAACCGGCATCGCCATGACATCGGTTGCGAGGCCCCAGACGCATGTACAGCCACTTTGTCTTCTGTCTGCCCTCGAGTCCCGCGTCCAGAGCACGCTTCTATCGACCCGCTCCGAGGGTCTGTCTGTACACGACATGTGCGTGTGTGTGTGTGTGTGTTTGTGCATGTGGGGGGGCGGGCCAAGGGAGGCTCGAGAAAGGCTTGCAGGCTTGTCTCAGACAGACGGGCTTTCATTGTGTCTCTCAGCGCCAGTCGAGTCCACCAGCGCGTCTCTCGTAGTCACCGCAACAGCAGACGCCTCTCACTTGCAGAAAGGCCTCGACGCCCGGAAACTGGCGCCACAGTCGTCAACCCTTCATCCGTCCGTCTGTCCTTCACTCTGTCCGTTCGTCTCTCCGTCTCTCCGTCTCTTCGTTTGTCCGTCCGTCCGTCCGTCCGTCCGTCGGCCGAGACACGCTCATTGGGACTCGGTCCCAGGGGCTTTGCGTGAGCCGACCACGTCGCCACGTGACCTCTTGACCCTGTGCCCTCTCCCATTGCTCACCTACCGAACCCCCATCCCCCTTCCCCTCCCCCTCCTCCCCCTCCTTCTCCTCCTCC